CTGCAGGCCACCCACCAAGGCTTCCATGTCAAGGTTGGGAAACAAGCCCAAGTTCACGTGCTTCTGTGGCAAGCATTACCAAGTGTTTGTTTCTCTTGGATAAGCACCCGCGAGAAGCAATGTGCTTTGCCACCTGGATTGTTGCAATACTTCATTCAGGTTTATTAACTATAAGATAACATTGATCAGCTCGTGGGACCGACATGGTGGTGGGGTTGGGTACAGGTCTGACCAGGGCATCTCTGAACACTCTGGGTCCATTTTGTGTCTCCCTGACTTATGGAATTCAAATCTGTCCGCCCTCCATGGCTGTGTGTCATTAGCCAGGTTGCTCCACCTCTCTGAGCCTCCATTGTCTCCTCTTTGGGTCAGGGATCATCAGAGACCTCGTGGTGTTGCTGGAGCTCTCTCCACTGCTGGCAGCGCAGGGAGTATTTTGGAGACATTAACCAAAACAGACTGACCAAAAATAAACAGTCGTTGAGGCTGGAGAGTTGGCTCAGAGGGTAAGAGCGCTGGCTGCTCTTGCAGAGAACCCAGGTTTGGTTCTCAGCGCACACGTGGTGGCTTACATCTGTCTGTAGCTTCAGTTCAGGGGCTCTGGGGCCCTCTAGTGGCCACTGCTGGCACGGCACGTGGTGTACAGACACATATAACATAAATAAATTAATCTAAAGACAGTTCTTTCACTTTTGAAAGCCCCTGGACAATGAAGATAGTCAGAATATGCAGTGTGACTACCTTCACTCAGGAAATCTGAAGCCCCAAGCACCCTAGAATCCTAACCTATTTTAGTGCTGGCCTGACACCATGGGAGAAGGTTGCGTGCCTGAACTCATAGAACCCAGCGACAGACAAAATATGGGGAACAAAAATATTGGGTGAAATATCTTTGCGGCTGTGAGAGTGTGCGGGACACATCTGGAACTGGAGTTTAGACTCAGGTCTCTTCCAATGCACGCGCGCGCGTGTGTGTGCGTGCGTGTGTGTATGTGTGTGTGTGCAACTATTTCAAAAGACAAAGTCTCAAGCCGGGCGATGGTGGCGCACACCTTTAATCCCAGCACTCGGGAGGCAGAGGTAGGCGGATCTCTGTGAGTTCGAGACCAGCCTGGTCTACAGAGCTAGTTCCAGGACAGGCTCCAAAGCCACAGAGAAACCCTGTCTCGAAAAACCAAAAAAAAAAAAAAAAAAAAAAAAGACAAAGTCTCCAGGTGACATCTGTGAACCCTGTGTTTAGGGTAAGATGAGGCAATATTCAGCTTCATCTGGGTGAACTGAAACAGTTCAGAGGGACTCGTGTGTAGGCTTGGGGGCGCAACTGGCTGAAGGATGCATGTGTGTCCAGCCCATTGTCTACATGTGTCCTCCAGGGTGAGGTTCAGTGAGAACATGCATATTTCACACAGGGAGGTAAGAGTCTGGAGAGGAATGGAAGGTAAGGGGAACCCCACTGCAGGGTTGACTCGGAATGTGGGGCCACAGAGTTGATGGCACAGAGGGACAGGGCAGATGGGATGCCGTGTGGAGCCTTGTAATGACGTGGCTACGCCTTTCAGTAAGACAGGTGCTGCGGTGTGAGCAGGGAAGGGCAGAGCTGGTCCTCGGTGGGTCCTCTCCTGCTGGTGGAAAGAAATCACCGTGGGGGCCTTAGTGGAGACTGGGATGTAAAAATAGGTGATTTCAGCAGTGGAGGCTTTAGGTGATGGTGTCTCTTCTTCCTTCCACGCATCTCCTGACAGGGAGGCCTGTGCAAACTCAGCCTTTCTTCTCTCCCCGCCCAAGGGGCTGAGCTGACGGCCTTCAGAGGTCCCGTCCTCATCACTTTCAGTGCTAAGGTGGAGACCGCCTGCGGGTATTGGCACCAGAAATGAGAAAACCACAAGATCAAGATGTAGAATCCAAAGAGGCTGCGTGAGCCTAGGAGCCAGAGCTGGTGGGAAGGTGGGGATGAGGAGGAGGGCATGGGAAGACTGTGGAGGAGAGTGCAGGAGAATCTGAGTTCCAGTTCCTGGCTGGCAAAGTCTCTTCAGCCTCCAGGGCTGGAGGCACCGACAAGGGAGGGGACGCAGATGTCTGGGACTGTCCTTCACTTGGTCAGTCCTTCCTTCAGCCGTTCGTTCGTTTGCTCTCCCAGTCAGTCAGCTGTTTGTGCATTTTCTCATTCACTCATTCTCCCGCTTGTCCCTTCGTCCCTCCATCCCTGTACCAGCCATCCACTGTCTCCCTCACACACTCATTCGGTCACACGTATCTGAGCCAGAAGCCCTGGGCCCTTGCTGCTTGGCCCCTCAGGACGTGAGCTGCATTCAGAGAGTTTTGTTTCTGTTTTATCAGTGGAGTGGTGGTCCAGGTGTCCACTTTAATTTACTTACTCATCCGGGAATCATTTCAGGGTGCCTAAGGGAACAAGATTCTCCCCTGGAAGGTGACTCAGTTTCCCTCCCCTATAATGGGAAAGAAACAACTCTCAAGGAGCTGCTGAGATTAAAGACTAAATCATACCTGGGGCTACAAAGTGTCTCTCAAGAACCCGGTACTTAAGATACACAAGCCCTTATAATCCTCAGTAGGGTGGGAGGCTTGAAGCAGTGATTACTGCTGTCTGCTGATGACAGTTGAGGAAACTGAGGCTCAGGCAGCAAGGCGGGTTAGGCATAGCCTTGGGCAGGCATACAGCAACTAGTCTGCCTGGTAACTGGTGATATCACACATTCTACCCTCAGGCTCGACCTATGGGAAACCGATGACCTCACCTAGCAGATGAAGTAGCCGAGGAGTCTCCACCTCACTGCAGGCACACTGCACCGCAGGCTGGCTGCTGCACTGTTGCAGAAAGTGATGGTTTTAGTGCAGGTTTATAGGAGCTGAGCTTCCAACCAGGCTACCAGACCGCACACTGACCACTTCAGCCTCCTGCGGTTCTCTATTTAACCGACTTCGATAGCGCACTTTCTCTGAGCTATACAGAGGCTTGCGCTCCTTATAAAATACTACAAGGTGGCAGTTATGTGTATATATATATATATATTATATAATTTATAATATCTATCTATATATAGAGAGAGATATATCCCAAGACAGAGCGACCCACAGTGTGGACTCCTGAATGTGTTACCCTCCATGTTTCTGGGTTTCATCTATGTGTTCAGGACCAAACTCTCACCATCAACACCATCATCATTGCTGTTGCTGTTCTAGGGATGGGACCCAGGGCCTTGCCATGCCCACCCCTCATTGGGGGCTTCCAGCGGGAGCTCTGTTACTGAGCCCTACCCCTCACTGGGGAGTTTACATTCCAAACGTTCTTCTTTCTTTCTAAGATGTATTTTGTTGCATTCATCTATGTGTGTGTCTGTGTGTCTGTGTGGGTACCACGTTGGCCAGAAGGGGGCATCAGAAGGTATCAGAAACATTAACTATTTGTGCGCTGGCTTATGTGGGTCCCGGAATCAGAACTTGGCTTCTCTGAAACAGCTGTGAGTACTTCTAACCACTGAGCCAAAAGGTCTCCAGTCCCTTTTTTGAGGGGAAGGCAGGGAGATTTAAGGCAAGGTCATCTGTGTAGCCCTGGCTGCCCTAGAACTCACTCTGTAGACCAGGCTGGCCTTGAACTCAGAGATCTACCTGCCTGTACTTCCTGAGCACTGGGACTAACCGTGTGAACCACCGCTGCCTGGCAGCTTCTTACTTTTTGAGACTGAATTTCCCTGTGCTTTTGGAGTTGAACTTCAGCTTTCTGTTCTCACGTCTCAGCCTCCTTTGTCTTGGGAATGAACGGCTTGATCCACTGGTCACTCAAAGAGAGCTGGGTGTTTGAAGAGTATTTGGTGATACCCACAGTTCTGGCCATCCTAACCTCCCTGGGTCTCCTGTCCCTTCCATACTGACAGGGACAGAGATGGGGGACCCGCAACGGTAACATGCAGAATTTTAGTGGGACACGCATGGCATGCAGTTGCTACACAGAAGTGGAGTGTGGAAATTGCTCCCTGAGATAGAGTGACATGAAACCAGTGACAGAAACTGGACCTTGTAATCCATGTCTGAGCATGCTCAGTCCAGTCAGGACCTTGTAATCCATGTCTGAGCTTGCTTAGTCCTGCCATCAAGAGTCTGAAGCAGATACAGCCAAACACTGTTCTTATGAACTTTTAGTGGGAACTGTTCTCCAAAACAAAGCAATATGCTGTGGTCTCTTTTCCCCAGGAAACATGAATCCAAGGGTTGTAGCTCAGCGGCAGGACAGTGGGCTACTATGCCAGCTCCATCAGTATTAACTCATTACACAAAACCTATGTCCTAGATGAGCCTGGTGGCCCAGATCTGTCATCCTAGGAATTTAGGAGGCTGAGACACAAGAATCAAAAGTTCAAGACTATCCAGAACAGCTCAGTGAGACCCTGTCTCCAACAAATTAATAGAGGGCTGTGGGCATGGCTCAGTGGTAGAGCCCCTACCTAGAATCCTCCAGTGGGGCTAGGGCATGGCGTGGTGGTAGAGCCCCTACCTAGAATCCTCCAGTGGGGCTAGGGCATGGCGTGGTGGTAGGACACTTCCTGCACCATTCTGGAAGCCCGGGTTCAGTTCTTTCTTTGGAAAGTCAGTTCTGTGGCTGCATAAATGTGTCACGGCTTTAGAAAAAGCAGCCAGATCACTTTAGCTTCTCGGTGAGTCATGGGGGCTTTTCTCATGGGCTCTGCAGCACGCAGCACGGGCAGGGCACCTGCCACCTTTATAAGATGGCCTGGTGACACGGTGTCACCTTCCAGGGTTGGGAACACTGAGCTCCACTCACGGATAGGAAGCACTCTGCCTCCTGCCAGCTGCCCGGCTTTGGGCAAACCACTCCCACCCTCTGTGCCCATGAAGATGATAAACATGACATTGTGGGGTGGCTGTGGCTCAGAGAAAGGGCTCTCCTCAGCAGGGTGTCAGTGGAGGGGCCCTCAACTTGCCCCCTCCTTGCTCTCCCTCACGTGTGCCTTCCTCTCTCGCAGCCAGAAGCTGCAGGGGGAATATTTCCGGTACAAAGGCATTCCCTTCCCCGTCGGCATGTACTCACCCGAGAGCCTCAGCCTGGCAGAGAACACTGACAACGTGCGGGATGAGGACATTTTCATTGTCACCTACCCCAAATCAGGTACGTAAGCTTGGGCTCAGGGGAGAAGTGGGGAGGGAAGGAGCCCGCAACCTCTTCTGGAAGCACCATCCTGGGCACTGCCCACTAACTCTCTGTTACAGGCAGACTCCAAAGACCTGGCCAACTCCCTTCTCCTCCAGGGCTGCAACCGTCTCCCCAGACCTCCCCCATCTCCTCAACCCCCACAGCACTGAGTGTCCCCAGACCTCCCCTGTCCCCTCAGCTCTACAGCACTGAGTGTCCCCAGACCTCCCCTGTCCCCTCAGATCTACAGCACTGAGTGTCCCCAGACCTTCCCTGTCTCCTCAGATACTGTGTGGTCTGGTGAGTACCGTGTTTTTGTTGAGACAGGTTTTCATGTAGCCCACGCTAGCCTTGAACTCCTGGTGTCTTAGGTTCTGGGAGGCAGATGTGTGCCTCCAGATGGAATCTCTGCTTTCTCACTGGGAGGCTTTCCTGAATTTTCCAAGAGCTTTGTCCGCATTGAACATTGTTGTGCTCTGTGAGCCTGAACCATGCCTGCTGCCTAATGTGCTGGTGGGGATGTTCTTCCTCTCCACGTCATTCTGAACTCACAGATAAGGAAAGTCAGTGTTCTCAAGACAGTTTTTCTGTGTAACAGCCCTAGCTGTCCTGGAACTCACTCTGTAGACCAGGCTGGCCTCGAACTCACAGAGATCCACCTGCCTCTGCCTCCCGAGCGCTGGGATTAAAGGTGTGCACCACCACCCAGTTTGTTCTTTTCTTTGTGTGATAAAAAAAACACCTTGATGTGGGCTGGAGAGATGGCTCAGTGGTTAAGAGCATTGCCTGATCTTGCAATGGTCCTGAGTTCAATTCCCAGCAACCACATGGGGGCTCACAACCATCTGAAATGAGGTCTGGTGCTCTCTTCTGGCCTACATGAACACAGAATAATATATATATATATATATATATATATATATATATATAATATAAAATATATATTTAAAAAAAAAACACCTTGATGTTGAGATGGCTCAGTGGTTCACACTTCCAGGCCACACAGTACATCAGGAAGGGAAATCAGACCAGGAATCAGGAGGGACCTGAAGCAGAACCAAGCAGGACACTGCTTTCCAGCTCCTTATAGATCCCAGGACCCCTTGCCTGGGAGTGGGTTGGGCCCTTCTACATCAAGAATATGCCCACCCCAACATTCAGGAGACAGGGCAGGTGAGTCTGAGGCCAGCTTGGTCTAGTAACAAATTCCGGGCCAGCAAGAGCTAAATAAATAAATAATGAAAGGCCTCACAGACATGCCCCTGACGCAGTGCCCAGCGGAGACTTGGGTAACTCTGGACTGTGCAGACAGCTGCAGCTAACTAGAAGAGCTGGGTCGGGTCAAGCGGTGCACATCTGTGATCCCAGCAAAGCTACAGACTGGATTTAAAGTCAGCCTGAGGCACACAAGAGCAAGCCTTACAAAACCATCCTCAGAGAAATAAACCGGACCCAGAAGAGATCACATGAGGCCCTTAAAGTAGCCATGCTTGGACGGAGAAACTGAGGCAGAGACCAGGTATGGGGTGGCGTGAGGTGAGAAAGGAGGGCATTATTTAGTGATGGGGCCGACTTTTGCGAACAATGTGGTTGCATGTATGCTGCCAACCGGAAATGGTTAGGATGGTGAGGTCTGCGTCGTGTGTATTCTAACACAAAGAAGAGGGAAACTTGCCAGCATAGACTTTAATAGAGAAGCTCCAGACGCAGGAGTAACCCCCACTGTCTGCAAGAAAAGGGAACCCCAGGCAGCGGTAAATTGGAGAATGGGACTTCCCTGCTCCTCTCTCCGGATTCAGTTTCACTGGAGAGGTGGAGGATTCTTGTCATTTCATTGTATTTTCCCTGCGCTAGTGACGAGGCGCAGAAGAGGGCAGCCACCGAGAACAATGTCGGATAATTTATGTTCCTCTGGCGCCCCCTGCTGGTGCGTGAGAACTGGGCCGGCTCGCTAGGGAGCGCCTTCTCTGCCCAGGCGCCCAAGACCCTTGAAGGTTGATGGTGGAAGAGACTGGGCTCCTGGGCAGGGACAGGGACTGGTTGACGTGACATTCAGATAGATGAGATAAGCTGGGCCTGGTGGAACTGGCCTGCTGTCTTTGCTAGGCCAGGGTCTGTTTTATTTTCGTTTGGGGGTTTGGTTTTTTTGGGTTTTGTTTTGGGTTTTTCGAGATAGGGTTTCTTGAAAGCTTTCGAGAAAGGTTTCAAGCTCTTGTCTTGAAACAACTATAACAAAATTAATTAGTTAAGGAAATGAAGATGATGAAATGGCTCAGCGGGTAAATTCACTTGCCACCAAGGCTGCTAACCTGAATGTGAGTCCCAAGACCCACATAAAAGCCAAGCATGATAGGAGGCTTGTGCCTATAAGTTCAGTGCTGAGGGTAGAGACAGATTCTGGGTGCTCCATGGCCAGCCAGTTTAGGGGAGATGTTGAAGTCCATTTTAGTAGGAGACCCTTTCTTTTTTTTTTTAAATATTTTTATTTATTTATTATGTATACAATATTCTGTCTGTATGTCTGCCTGCAGGCCAGAAGAGGGCATCAGATCTCATTATAGATGGCTGTGAGCCACCATGTGGTTGCTGGGAATTGAACTCAGGACCTCTGGAAGAGCAGTCAGTGCTCTTAACCTCTGAGCCATCTCTCCAGCCCCGAGACCCTTTCTTAAACAATAAAGCAGAGTTATAGAAGAGATAATGTTTTCCTCCAACCTCCATACATTCAGAAGTGGGCATGCAGGCACCACACACACATGCACGCACTACACATAGGCACACACACATGCACACACACACAGGCACACATGCACGCACACACACAGGCACACACACACAGGCACACATGCACACACACACACAAGCACACACGCACACACACACAGGCACACAGGGAGGCAGTCAACTCGGAAGGCAGAGCTTGCATGCAGTATGCAGCTTGGTGACTGAATGCAGGGTTCCTCCCTGTCCGCTAGGCTGCAGCATGTCCTGCAGGGAGGCAGAAGTCAGTGAGGGGAAGGAATACACATTGAGGTAGCAGTGTCCACTCCCAAGAAGCCCAGGATCTCCGTAAGCGGCCAGCACAGGGACAGTCATAGCTCTCCTAGGACTGGAGGTTCAGGGCTATGTTTGCTTTTATTTTATATATATGGATGTTGTAGACACATGTATGTGCACAATGTGTGTGCAGTGCCCACAGAGGCCTGAAGAGGGTGTCACATCCCTTGGAACTGGAGTTACCAGTGGTTGTGAGCTGCCATCTGGGTGCTGGGAATTGAATCTGAGTCCTTTGCAAGGGCATCCTAAGCCATTTCTCCAGCCCCCTCATCTTCACTGGTGTTCTGTTGCTGTGAGAGACACCATGACCACTGCATCTCTTATAAAGGAAAGCATTAAATTGGGACTGGCTTACGGCTTCAGAGGCTTCATCCATTATTCTCATGACAGGGAGCAGAGTGGCGTGCAGGCAGACGTGGTAGCTGAGAGTTCTCCATCTGGAATCTCAGGCGGCAGGAAGAGAGAGAGCCTCTGGGCCTGACTTGAACCCCTGAAACTTCAAAGCCCACCCCTAATGATACACTTCCTCCATCAAGGCCACTCCCTGGTGACCGAACATTCAAATCTATGAACCTATGGGGGCCATTCTTAATTAACCACCACACCCCTGGGGTTTTGTTTTGAGACAGGGTTTCACACTACAATTCAGACTGGCCTCAGATTCAAAGTGGTCTTCTAACTTAGCCTCCAGAGTGCTGGAATGACAGCCCTGTCCAGCGTCTGGCCAGGCTGTTCCCTGCCTTGCCTCCTGCTTTCTTAGGTACCTTCAAACCCAGTGCCCCCATTGGGAACATGGTTCTGTTCCCACTCCTTGCCATCCTTTCTGCTCCCAGCTAACCTCTCTGTTCTCCCGGTAGGTACCAACTGGATGATTGAGATCCTCTGCTTAATTTTGAAAGATGGGGACCCCTCGTGGATCCGTTCTGAGCCCATTTGGCAACGTGCACCCTGGTGCGAGACCATCATAAGTGCCTTCAGTCTCCCAGACCGGCCCAGCCCCCGCCTCATGAGCTCCCACCTCCCCATTCAACTCTTCACCAAGGCGGCCTTCAGCTCCAAGGCCAAGGTGAGGTGGGCAGAGGGGGTGAGGCAGGGAGACTAATCCTGAGAAGCTTCATGGTGAATACACTCTTGACATGTGGCCCTGGGAGTCTGCCTTTTAAAGGGGAGCAGACTCTAGGCCAGATGTGGTCATATGTGCCTGTCACCCCAACACTTGAGAAACTGAATCAGGAGAGTGGTCATGATTTCCAGGGCACCCTAGGCTACAGAATGATGCCACTGCCTCCCCAGCAGCATGTCCCATGTCCTCATCCTGACTCTCAGGCCTTCCTTCTCCCTGCTTTGTTTCCAGAAACCAAACTGGCTCAGAAACAGGCCCTCCCTCCTTCTAATGTGATTGGAGGAGGCTTGGTCCCTAAGAATGGGCTGGGCTGAGCCCACTCCACCTTGAGTGTGTCCTGCCTGCAGGGTCAGAAGAGGGGGAGGAAGGCAGGCCGCCTGGGGGCAGGTCCCACCATACCTGACACCTTCTCCCCTCCTCGCCATCTTACACAGGTGATCTACTTGGGCCGGAACCCCCGGGACGTCGTGGTGTCTCTTTATTATTACTCTAAGATTGCAGGGCAATTGAAGGACCCTGGGACGCCTGACCAGTTCCTTCAGGATTTCCTCAAAGGAGAAGGTGAGGACTGGGAAGGGAAGAGAGATGGGAAGAGACAAAAATGGGAGAGGCAGAGATGGGAAGAGACAGAGATGGGGGAGACAGAGATGGGGAGAGACAGAGATGGGGAGGCAGAGATGGGGAGAGACAGAGATGGGGGAGGCAGAGATGGGAGAGATCAAGGAGAGCAGAGATGGAGATAGAGACCAGGTAGACAGACTAACCGGAGCAGACGTCTGGGTGGTAGCAGGAGGAACTGCACAGACAAGAGCTGGGGGAGGGGGGTCTCTGACCCTGGCTGAAAGGCCTTGGGTAGCCGGCACAGGTGGCCCGTGCAGCCTGGTCCTGAGAGCCCTGTGACCCTCACACCCCTCTACCCTCTGCAGTGCAGTTTGGCTCCTGGTTTGACCACATCAAGGGCTGGATCCGGATGCAGAGCCATGAGAACTTCCTGTTTATCACCTACGAAGAGCTGCAGCAGGTTCGTCTGGTGTATGCCCCTGGCACCTCTCCCTCGCCACACGCTCATGGATGCCCGCCAACCTCCTATCAGGCCTTGTCCTGGGGAAACAAAACTGATGGTGGTCTGGAGATGGGAAGTGGGGAACTCTAGGCAGATAGGGCTCTTCAGCTCACGATCAGATAGGTTGGACAACCTATGGTGGTCTGGAGATGGGACATAAGTAACTATAGGCAGATAGGGCCTGTCAACTCACGATCAGATAGGAGGGACACACAGCAGCAGATGGACAAGCGGCCAGGAGAGTCTGCAGCCAGAGCAGCCAGTGCAAAGGACCTGGGGAAGCGCCCCTCCCCCTCACTCTCTCCCCTCCACCACACTAAATCTCAGTAGCTCAAGTGTCTGAGGATGACCTTGAACTTCTAATTCTTCTGTTTCCAATGCCTGAGGTTACGGAAGTACCCCCCTGCCTGGCTCCTGCAGTGCTGGGGACAACCCAGGCTTCTAGCAGCAAACTCTCTCTTTTATTTATTTTTCCAGACAGGGTCTCTCTGTGTAGCCCTGGCTGTTCTGGAACTCACTCTGTAGACCAGGCTGGCCTCTGTCTCCAGATCTCCCTGACTCAACCTCCCCCAAGTGCTGGTATTACAGGCATATTCCATAACTGTCACCTTTTTCAGTTCTGAGGATTGAACCCAGGGCCTTGTATATGCTGGGCAAGTAACAAATGAGTCGTAACTCAAAATCCTTGCTGGGAAATTCTAGGCAAGGATTTTTTAATTTTAAATGAAGTTTCATTAAGGTTCCCAGGCTGGCCTTGAACTTTCAATCCTCCTCGGTCTCCAGAGTGACTGAGGTGACAGGCTTGTGTCACCAGGTCTAGCTTCCAGAGACACTTATGGTAGTTACAACCTTAGATTCTCAGTGACAGGGCAGCTCGGAGCACAGCCCGGAGGAGTGTGCCTGGCCCTGGTGTGCTGCGCCTACCCCAAGCCTGCCCAGCCCTGGGTCAGCCTGTGGAGTGTGAACAGCTAAGCTAGGTCAGGGTAAGGGCACGTGGGGCTGAGTCAAAGGCCTGGGTAAGGGCACGTGGGAATGGCCACCAGGAGAGCCAACCAGCACCTGCCACCTACTGCTAAGCACCAGTGAGAATCTGTGCACGGCTGCTCCCAGAGACCGGGCGGAGAAACCCAGGAAAGACTCACCCACTGGAGCCTGTCCCCAGCACTCAGGAGGCAGAGGCAGCAGAGCGAGTTCCAGGACAGCCAGGGCTACACAGAGAAACCCTGTCTTGGAAAAAAAACAAACAAAGAACAAACAACAACAAACAAAAAAAGAGTTGGCAAGTTGACTCAAAGGGTAAAGTCGCTTGCTACCAGGCCTGACGACCTGAGTTCAGTCCCCAGATGTGGAGAGAACTGACCTCTGCCATGTTTCCTCTGACTTGCACATGCACAGTGCACACACATGAATGTAATAAAAAATTTACATATATATGTACATATTCACTTAAAATAGCAGTAGACCACCAATTTTGAGCTGTGGAAATCATAATTCTTTAGGTTCACCCTGGGAAGTCCTCACGGCCATTCAGAGGAGGGCATGAGCTTTAGCACTCTGGAGAGTCAGGCATTTGCAGAAGACACACAGCAATTCCCCGCAGCCCCCATAATTTTTCCATCCCGATACTTTCTCCTGAGAAAGCTTTCGGCGCCATGTCTCCCTCCCTTCATCCAATCAAGTTTTAGTCTCCAAACCAAAAACTGGGCCACAGAGTGGAGCGCAGCTTCGGGGACTCTGCAAGGGTACGGCGCCGTCCACATGTGTGTTTCTGGGACAGGCCTGTGGCTCAGAGAACAAAGGCTTATGAAAGAGAAATTGACCTGGAAAAGCTGGCCGTGGGGCTATGCAGCCACCAGCTATGCCGAGCACCGTATGCCATGGCTAGGAGGTTGAGAGGACCGTGGAGCTTGGGGGGCTGAGTCTGAGTTTTGGGGTTATGTGACTTTGCGCAAGTATCTTCTATCTCTGGACCTCCGTTTGTCAACTAGGGTGTGACCTTTCTTGCAAATCTGACGGCAGGATCAGCACAAATGTGAACGAGGACTTGGGTCACAGTTTGGTTCCAGGGACTTGAGCCAAGTGTCATGAGGAAGGCAGCAATTGAATTTATCAGTGGCAAGGATTATCGAGAAATCTTGTGCTGAGCTGTGGAGGGGTGAAAGGTCGGGAGCGGCAGTGTGGGAAGCAGGGGCTCACACAAAACCACCCTGTCCTTGAAAACCAGGTCAGGGAGGACTCTGTCCCACGTACTGGGGAGCCACTGAATCAAGGGCGCCAGGGAAGTTGGCTGAAGTGAGGAGATGCCCCCCCCCCCGGCAGGCTGGGAGAGGGGCTGCAGTACGGAGGATGAGATGTGGGCCAGGGTGGGGATATTGGGGACACAGAAATGAAGACATGGCAAAAGAAGGCAGGCGGGACAGGAATCTGGGCTGAGGCAGCCGGGGAAGGGGAGGCCCCAGAAAGGGGCAGAGCCGTCAGCTTCTGATGTAAACTTGGAAACCACTGGCCTCCCTACCCAAAGTGGCCCCCACTCCACTATTCTTTTTCCCACCCCAGGACCTGCGAGGCTCTGTGCAACGCGTCTGCGAGTTCCTGGGCCGGCCACTGGGTGAAGAGGCCCTGAGCTCTGTGGTGGCCCACTCAGCTTTCGGTGCCATGAAGGCCAATACAATGTCCAACTACACACTGTTGCCGGCCAGCCTGCTGGACCACCGCCAGGGGGCGTTCCTGCGCAAAGGTACCACTGGGCGCTTCTAGACAGTTCACAGCTTGGGGGGGGGGGGGAGGCTTCATTTTCCCGGATGCCGCACGGAGTGTACAGGGCCACCTAGACTAATAGTCTTCGCTCTTAGTAGGAGGTCTGGCATTCCAGGTGCCTGCCTGCCTGCTGACCTGCCTCCTTCTGGACGTCCGCATGAAATCAAACATCCTGAGGGCATTCAAAGCCAAGCTCCAACAGCGTGAGGCTGAAGTCGCAGGAACCTTTGTTTTAGTGCGGAATAATTCAAATTCAGTGTTTAGTCAGGCGTGGTGGTGCTTGCTGGTCAAACCAGCTATTCAGAGTTGGGGCCATTCTGGGCTGCTTCAGATTCTGTCTCCAAACAAAGCCGTGACAACACAGGATCCCCAGGTGGTCCAGGCCTGTCCCTGCCCCCCGGATCCTGCCGCCATGTGATTTCACAGCCTAAATCCCAAGAAATGAGTATCTCTAAGGTGTAGCAGCCCCCTTCGGGGAGACTCGGGGAGACTCCTGATCTCACCAGAGGCGACATGACTGACTTGCAATAAAGTCTACAAGCTGTTTGAAAGGCCCCTGTCTGCACAGGCAAGAGAGGGACCCCTAGTGGTCCCTGTGATAGCAGGAACCAGCACTCAGCATTACATGCTTGGGGTGGGGGGCACCTTGCTGAAGCAGCTTCCAGAGTGCCTGACTGGGGTGCTCTGGCCATCCAGGCACAAGAATGCTGGAGGCCATGTTGGGTGTCTGAGGGGTACTAGGGTGAGAGAGCCCTGTGCCAGCAGAGGCAACTCCCAGAGGAGGTGATGCAGGCTGAAAAGGGGGGGGTTTGGGTGCTAAGAGGGAAGCGAGTTCTGGGAAGAGATCTGGAAGGTCAGAGGTCAAAGGACAGGGCGGACAAGGGTCACCGAGGTGTAAAGGAAAGAGGCAGGTGTAGTTGGTCCTGAGGGGAGTTCTTCAGTGGTCCCTTCCTCTGTCCCCCCCAGGCATCAGTGGTGACTGGAAGAACCACTTCACTGTGGCACAGAGTGAGGCCTTCGACCGCGTCTACCGTGAGCAGATGAGAGGACAACCAAGCTTCCCCTGGGACATGTCCCCAGAGGCCACCAGCCCTGATGGTGACCCTGATCCTGAGCCCAGCCCTAGTCCTGGCTCTAACCCAGGACCCTCTGATGACCCCAACGCAGAAGCCTCACAATAAAGTTGACACTCTGATTGTCCCTTCCTACTTGCTGCATTTTCGGAGGACAGCAGGGTGGGGGGGAGCGGGAGAGGAGAGTTGGGGGGAGGGGAGAGTGGGGGTGGAATACAGAGGACGGGGTCACGCACCGGAAAGGATGCAGAGGAGCTGCAGAGGCTCAGTGTGACTCACTTCTCATCCCAGTGCTTGGGAGGCAGAGGCAGTAGGATTGCAAATTCATGTCCAGCCTGGGTTACTCAGGGACCAAAACAGCACAAAGCGGGTGGGGGAAGACTGCACTGAGCATGAACGCAACAGGGACGCCAGGCTGGGCCTGACCGGAGGGAGGGGAGTTGGGGAGAAACCCTGGGTTTCAAGAAGAACTGGGGAGGATGTTGTCTGGAGTTGGGAAGTGGGGGGGGGGGGGGTGGAAACCATGGCGATTCATGTCTGTGTTCTCAGAGTTTAATCTGATCAGAAATAGAGAACGCTCTGCTACTCCCCATCGGCTCCCACAAAACATTCCAGACATACCCAATGTCTCAGTGTCCCCAGACTTTCTGGGTCCCTCCCCCCTAAACTCAGTCACTGCGAACATTCCTCTCCTGGACTCGGTTTACCCTCTGCTCCACACACGGGTGTGGGTGCTTCTCTGGGGTTGCCGCACGGTCCGGTCCTCCCTACAACAGTGGTGCAGCCAGGCCTGTCTCTAAGCAGTCCAGTGGAAGACCGGCTACTCTGGAACCTTCTGCCCGAGCCCTTAGCTCTGCTGAGTTCACCCAGTTCGAGAGTAATTAAGACCAATCCCTTCCACTGCCCAGCTCCCAGGCCAGTCTGGTAGGGTCTCTGAGCTGACCCACGTCTGGCCATCAGCGTCGCTTTCCAGGGCCTGAGCCAGAGGCCCAGTCTGAGGTAGCATTGCTTCCCAACCGCCTTTGGGCTGGAGATAAGTACCGCAGATGGCGGGCTGGAATCCCGGGGAGGGGGCCACTCCAGGGCTGTGACCGGGCTAGTGGGTGAGAATCCATCTCACCCCTGGGTCCCCCTCCAGCGCCCCTCTGCCTCATCAGGGCCCTGGCTGGAGTGTCCTTGTGGCCCCAGGACTTCTTGAGCTGTGAAGGGAAAAAAAAAATCTGGTGAGCAGTTTCTGGGGCTCAGGGGTCGGTGCTAGCCTGGTGTGCACAGGGCCTGTGTTTGGTTCTTGGCGCCACATAAATCAGGCACCACAGGCACACCATTGTATGGGCACTCAGGATGTAGAGGAAGGAGGATCAGAAGCTCAAGACCAACCTGGACCACGTGAAACCCTGTCAAAATAAGGAGGCAAGGTGGACGGTGGTGACACACGCATGCCTTTAATCCCAGCACTCAGGAGCAGAGGCAGGTGGATCTCTGTGAGTTTGAGACCAGCCTGTTCTACAAGAGCTAGTTCCAGGACAGCCAGGGCTGTTACACAGTGAAATCCTGTCTTGAAAAACAAAACAAAACAAAAAACAAATAAAAATAAAAATAAAACGTTCAGCATGGCAGCACCCATGGAAGTGGTGGTGTGTACGGACTCTGCGGTGCAGCTCTGGAGCTGCGTGGTGTGGGAGCTTCCTTCAGCACCCAACCTGCTCACCTACCACGGCGGACAAGCGGGGTCGCGGGGCCTGGCGCTGCTCAATGGCGAATACCTGCTCACCAGCAGGTAAGGCAAGAACTACATCTGTGCCTGGGAGCTGCAGCGCAAGGACCAGCTCCAACAGAAAATCATTGTCTGACCACAGCATCCAATGGCCTGTTTGTCCTGGCAGGAATTGCCGAGAGCATCTACCTGTGGGAGGCACCCAAGATGGCTCCTAGCTCCACCTACCACTGTCACCGATGGCGGTACTTCACCCACCAAGTCATCCTTGGTTCTCAAGTAGTGCAGACCAGCCTTGAACTCACTGTGTGGCCCTTGAGTTCCTCCTCCTCGTCACCACTTCAGTCCTGGCTCTCTCTTCACACCATCTCCCTACTGGCCCTTATCAGGGTGTCCCTGCGTAGCCCTGGCTGCCCTCAGACTCCCTAGTGCTGGAATTAAAGGTGTGTGCTGCCCACCCCCACCTCCCCCCAAAAAAATATAAATAAATAAAAGTAAGGAGGCCAGAGGCTGGAGAAGACTCAGAAGGTAAAATGCTTGTTGCAGAACCATGAGGCCTGGGCCTGGGCCCCCAGTGCTCACATAAAAGCTGGGGCTACCAGCTAAGCATCGGTAACCTTAGCACTGGAAGGAAGACGAGTGGCCCCAAAGCTTCCTGGCTGCTCTCTCTGTCTGTGCAGTCACAGACGCTGTCTTAAAAACATCGTGGAGGGGGCTGGAGAGATGGCTCAGTGGTTAAGAGCATTTCCTGCTCTTCCAAAGGTCCTGAGTTCAATTCCCAGCAACCACATGGTGGCTCACAACCATCTGTAATAAGGTCTGGTGCTCTCTTCTGGCCTTCTGCATACACACAGATAGACTATTGTATACATAATAAATAATAAATATTTAAAAAAAAAAAAAAAAAAAAAAAAAAAAAAAAACATCGTGGAGGGCTGGAGAGATGGCCCAGTGGTTAAGAGCATTGCTGCTCTTCCAAAGGTCCTGAGTTCAATTTCCGGCAACCACATGGTGGCTCACAACCATCTGTAATGGGGTCTAGTGCCCTCTTCTGGCCTGCAGGCATACACACAGACAGAATATTGTATGCATAATAAATAAATATTTAAAAAAAAAATCGTGGAGTGGAGCACACCTCTAATCCCAGCAGACGGATCTCCATGAGTTCGAGGCCAACCTGGTCTACAGAGGGAGTTCCAAGACAGTCAGGAAAACCTTGCCTCAAAACAACAACAATAAACAATAATGATAATAATGTGAAGAGTGACAGAGGAAGACCTCCAGCGGCAACATCTGGCCTCGACAGGCACACACAGTGAGCTTGCCTGCACACACAGGAAGCACACACCGCACACGTGCATAAGAGGAAAATTGAGCTGGGTAGTGGTGGTGCACACCTTTAATCCCAGCACTCAGGAGGCAGAGCTAGGAGGATCTCTGTGAGTTCGAGGCCAACCTGGTCTACAGGGGGAGTTCCAGGACAGGCTCCAAAGCTACAGAAAAACCCTGTCTCGGAAAACAAAAAATAAAAAAAAAGGGGGGGGGGAATGTTAGGAGCAAAGATCTTGGGGTAAGAGAAGACCTGGAACCCCAGACCCACATAGGATGCCTCTCGCCTTGTATCTGTGGAAGAACAGGAAGCAGCTGTGCCATCTTGGGGCCAAATATTTGTCAAGGGAGGGGAACCTCAGCAGAGGCAGGCAAGGACCTTGGCCTGCCCACTCCCTTTCCTCTGGCTTCACTGACAGAAGTAATTCTGCTCAATTTCCAGGGAGCAGATGGGGAAACTGAGGCCGGCAGGGGTTAGCTCACTGAGGGACGTAAGCCCACCTGCTTGCATCCTGGGGGAGGCTGTTTGTCTCCCTCCATGGCTCTGTTCTTCTATGCAACAACCTGTCTCACAGTGAGAGAAACTGAGGCTCAGAGGCAAAACCATTTCTAGCCCAGGGTTAACCAAGCAGCCCAGTGGATCCCCACTCTCCACGTACAGCTGCCGGAGGATCCTCAGTTCCCCTGATCCCCTCCTTTTCCCCAACACCCCAGGGACTACAATCTAGAAAGTGAACATGTCCCACTGGGAGGCAGAGCTGAGGTCCAAGCCCTCTCAGGTGCCTCAGTCTCTCCATCTGTGAAGTGGGTAGATTAAGTTAGCCCCACTTAGCCAGGCATGATGCAGTTCCCCTGACCCCCTGTCATCCCATTGGGGGAAAGTGGAGGCCAGAGAATTGGTTCAAGGCCAGAGACTCTAAGACTCTCGTTCAAAAAGAAAACTTGCTTCTTGCTTTGGGGTTCAGTGTTCAAACAGGGCCTCCCTCTCTCTCTGTCTGCCTCAGTCCTTATCAGGGGGGGGGGTCTCACCTCATTGTCACCATCACTGGAGCCAGAGAGCTGGGACAGGCGGCTGAGGTCCCACAAGGAGCGGCTGGGCCTGGTTGGGGGACCACTGGCTGTCCTGGTACGGTGGACACTCCTCAAGATGTCACTGAGAGCTGGCCCTGTGGTGGTGGAGGTCTCCTGTCTGTCCCCCTCAAAGATGTGACAGGCCGCCAGGCGGTGGGCCAAAGGCTTGTCAGACAGCAATGGGGCCACAGGGGCCACAGGACAGCGCAGGGCCACACGGTGTGGGCTTTGGGGCAGCCGTGGACCTTCAGAAGGGCTGAGCAAGGGGCTTCGAGCTGGTGCCGGTGGCAGTGGACTGGAGGCCGCATACAGGACTCGGAACTCCTGGCTAAAGGCATCTGCAATTTCTCCTGTGAGCAAGGTCACCAGGCCCCGATGCAGGCGTGAGTCACTCCACGTGAAGCTGGGGATGTAGGGTAACAGTCAGGATCTGTGCAGGGTGGCACCCACCCTAGTCCCCGGCCACTGTGACCTTAAGTCACGATCTCACAGGCCCTAGCCTCTCTGGTGAGTAGGACAAGAAATATCCACCCTGCTGTTTGTCACAACCAACCTGGGGACAACAGGAGATAAGACACTTATACCACCAAGCTGGGCCTAGTAACAGCATCTGTAATCCCAGCACTGGGGGGTTGAGGCAGGGAGATCAGGAGTTTGTTACACAGTTCCAGAAAAGCCTGTGTTATGTGAGACTATCAAAGACAAACAAACAAGCCACAGGGTGTGTGGCACAGGCCTTTAAGCCTTTAATCCCAGCACAGGAGGCAGAGGCAGGCGGATCTCTGTGAGTTTAAGGCCAGCCTCTGCTACAAGAGTTAGTTCCAGGACAGGCTCTAAAGCTACAGAGAAACCCAGTCTTGAAAAACCAAAACCAAACAAACAAACAACTAACAAACAAAAACAAAACAACAACAAAACCAAACAGTCAAACCTGGAAAGTCTTTATACGGATCACCTGAAGTCAGAAGAGCCTTCAGCATGGGCTCTGCTCTGTACCCAGGGAT